GACCCGAGCTCAGAGGATGAAAGAGACCACCCGCGGAGGGTGAGAAGGGAATTTTTTTTTATATATATATATTTGTATTTGAATCATAGACAAATATTTTAAGATTTATTTTAGTTAAATAATTCACTCATGTGTCAYTGAACTTTAGTTCATCAGTGTTAATCCTGTCCAAGTCTGAACTTGTTTTTCTGAGCAGCTGCTGATGTTTTAATAGATTTATGACTAAACTTCATCTGTAACTAAACCTGAAGTGGAGGTCAGCTCTAAGCCCTCGACAGAGTGACGACGTCTCACTGAGCTGTTTTGTCTCCGTTAGAAAAATCATCATTTGTCAGTCTGATCTGACTGTTTTACCAACGAACAGTTTTCCTGTCGGCTCTCGACACCTTCAGTCGTGATCCGACAACCAGCTTTGAAGCTCCAGTAAGTTTTTAAAACTTCTGATGAGAAGTCTTTTATTTTGAAGAGAAAACCTGAAATGGATCTTGGCTCACTCCTTCAGACAGAAGCAGATCTTTTAACGCTGTAAAGCAAAACTTTGGAAGTTTTACTGGAAATAAGAGACTTTGACAGAGTTTCTCACCAGCCTGGGTAAAACTTCCTGACCAACACTCAGTCTGATGGTCGAAACACCGACAGGTAAAAGCTGAATGTTTTGACAAGTCTACCGGAGTTTGGACTGACTTTACAATAAATATCTTTATAATAAACAACTTTCTCTGATGTTTTCTCATTTTATTTTAGTCTTTTAGATGGTGTAATTGTTTGTTTCTGTTTAATTCTCTCTGATTTTTTTCAGTTCCTCTCAGCTGGTTAAAACTTTAAATCATTTCATTTATTCCTTTTTTTTCTAACACTGAAGAGTTTTTCTCTGAACGCTCGTGTTTTGGTTGTTTTCCTCGTCTCTTCCTGCCCAAACACAGGACTGGATCCTCAGACTTTGGACTCTGGTTCTGATGTTTACCAACCATAAAACCATAAAAACCATAAAAGCAGAGTGACGCCTCGGTTCTGTTCCCTCACCTGCTGCTGTCTGAGTTTCACTGAAACCACAACACAAAACCTAAGTAAGTAAGTAAG